CCTCTAGGCATGGTGGAATTCATCGGATCTTGATATAGAAGTTCTCGAGTATAGGGAAAGAATTTTGTCGTGGGATTTTGGACCAACAGCTAGCAGCCTCTTACCATGATCGTAGGGAAAAGGGGGACGTGGTAATATATATATTCAGACCTATATATTAATTGCTAAAAGTTCGTGTAATTGCTAAAGTAAAAAGTGAGACCATGCATGGATAGAGACCCATAGCGATGTGAGAAAAGAAAAAGAACATAAAGACCCGAATATATATTGAAACATCCAAACAGAATGTGTTCATGAAATTGGCCCATTAGAAGACTCATCGGCATCCGCGTTCACGATCTTGGCGACCCTCAAACACGTTTCACATTTGTTCATGCTCCGAGCCACAGCTACCTTCCGCTCGAAGATTGTAGCTCGCTGGTCAGAAAGTACGAGCTTGTTTTTCAAGTCATAGATCTCCTTTCTATACTTCAGCTCACGTTGTTCAAGGGACTTGATAGTCTGGGTATGTCTCCTACTCTCCTCTTGTGCGGACTCCAGCTTGGCGGTCTTATCTGAATTGATCTTCTTGAGATCTTCAACCTGGCATTGCAGCGAGGCGATTACTTTCTCCTGATCATAGTTTTTGAAAAATGTAGTTTCGAACCTCCATATGAGGTTTTTGAGATATTGCACGTCCGATGGGAGAGAAGGCCGAGTAGGCTCAGTCGCCTCTTTTGTACTTCTCTGGTGGCCTTGTTGATTTTCTCCACTTCTTGAACTCGGTGTCATGCTTGTTCGCCCGGGTATGGATCCCGCAGGAGGGGTTTTATTGCTGGACACGCCCGTCTGCAATATGTCAGTAAGTTCACCGCAAAGCTGGTAAGCATGTGTATCTTACACTTCCATTAGGGCGAGAGTCAGGCATATCAGTATCTCCCTGGGCATCGGTTCTGCCTACCCCTGCTTCTTCTTCGCCGCTTTGGCGGTTTTCAGGAGCATTGTTCGTATCATCGATGACGATTGTCTCGATTCCCTCTAGACCTTCTCTTTCATATGGTAGACTGGGCCCCTGAAGTGTCTCTTCATCGGAGTCTTGTTCATAGTCCGAAGAGGTATCCTCGTCTGTCATATTGTTTTGATCCGTTTCTTCCACTTGGTCCTTTCCCGACGAAAGGACCGCAGCTGTTCTGGTCTGCTTCCCTGGGCGGTTCCCAGGCGCCATTTCGTCGGGCAGTGCACGCTTATTGGTTCTAGTTCGTAGCGTTACAATGCGGGCTGGAGGAGGATTCCGAGGGGTATCAGGGTTTGACTTTGCAATCAGTACGACAGCCATCAATATAGAGGTGGATTAAGCCAAACTTACAATGTTGGCTTCGCGTCTTCTCTCTATACTCATCATCTATTATGAAGTCAGACAAACTCTGGCAGTGGGGTCAAATAAGACATACGGAATAGGCTTTCTCCAGGGCGTTCTGGCTTCTATGGGGGAAGAACTGCTGCGTAGAGTGTAAGTATGCCACCGTGGGTAGAAGGAGTCAATGATAAATAAAGGGGAAGGAACAATCTATGCACACCTTGCGAAACTCCCTCCAGGGCATGCGACTGTACATTGTTCGCTGATCCCAGAAGCGCTGTTTCTCTTCATCAGTCCAGGTACCGCCGGTCTTCATGCGTGCTCTGGGTTTTCTAGGTTTGCGTGAGAAGGTCGGCATGAGAGTGATGGTAACAGAAGATGAAGAGACCCGCTTGAAGATATATAAACGAGGCAAGAAATTATTGTAAAGCTGAATTGAAGGCAAGAAAGGAAGGTATTACAATGAGGATGTCTCAGAACATCCAAGGCAGTGGGGGTGAAATAAGGCTTTCGGCGAGGCTGAATCAAGCGCTACGACAGGCAGCACTGAAGTTGAGCTTAGTTGAAAAACCAGGATCCAGGATCCCTGTTGTGTTGAGGTGGAAATTCGCAATCAGAGATACCTTTCGATAGATAGAATACGCGGTAGCAAGCTTCCTCACCGCGCGGTTCACTCTCCGTAGGTGAATACCCCTAGTAATTTTCACTCCCACCTCTAGTTAGAAATACAGCAATTTGAATATTATAACCCTATCATGAGATTATTCCAGACAGGGGCATAGTATCTGCCTTTCACCGACTCTTTCCAACAGACATTTTCTCTGAGATAACGCAACGTAAAAGGACGCTAAGGAAGCAATACGGCGCAGCGAAGGTGCATTAGCAGCGTCGTTAGCCTCGAGCCGTTGGCTTTCCACCCCTGCGCAAGCCAAATGACAATTCTGGCGACTTGCATAAGCGCTGCGATTAGACCTCATTCGTGCATTAGACGGTTTCAGAGGATGAGGTAACACCACCAGGAGCACTCAGCCTTGCAGGCACAGGATTGTTGTTGCAGCCTTGTAAATGAAGCTGAAAACTCCTGATGCTTGAACTGGTCCTCGGGTGGAAATTTCTGCGCGCGCGCTCGCAGATAACAAATATCTGGCTTTTGATACCCTGTAGAGAGGATAGCATTCAAGAAAAGACCGTAAAAGGGGATTTGGATGGGGGGTGGTTCTCATGTTTTCTTGATGTACTACAATCCCCAAGTCTGTTCACCGCCGGCTGAATTCAGGGACTCTTGGAGGCTTATCTGGGCCCCGTTTCTTGAATTTCCTGCTTTATGGTATCATTCATCTTTCAAACCCAGTTTCCCACCCAAACAATCAGGCCGCTCTATATGATTCTTGGCGTACTCGCTCACTCAGAAACACATTATACCATGGACTTAATGATATACAGAATGATAGCTCAACCCTGGGCGCTGTCTATTTCAAGCAGGAAATGTTTTAGTATACATCAAGATAATCTCACTGAACATAATAGAACAGCAGAGCACCTCATTGAGCAAACATTCCAATTGACACGGCTAGATTCAGTGTGTGATGACATTTTTGAATCTGCTATAGACTTCTCCAATAAGCAGAGCTGTCACATAGAAGCCGTGAAATAGTTGAATAACCATGCCGGACGGCCAAGGCAACAGCATTTGCACCATCAGTCTCGCATGCGTTTCGACCGGCTTCATAACCCCCGAAGTCGGAACTAACTCGTAAAGATCATATTCGTCTACTGAAAGGACGCCGCGCGACTAGTCGCGGCTTTTCGTTATTGACTCTAGCCGTAAGACTTATCTCTACGGCCCTCCTCAAATGTGCGCGACCTTCAGAGCCTCGAATATCCATTGGAGAGCCCTCTCCTGGGCTCAGCTGCTTCAACACATAATCCCCTAGATGACATCCGGTCCCAAGTGAATCGGGTGCCAGACTTGAATGTGTGACACTCGCTCCATGCTGAAGGAGAATTCTGACCGTGCTCTTTCTCCCATGTGCTGCAGCAAGTTGAAGGGGCGTAAACTGTTCGTAAGGAAGATTAACATCTGCGCCATGCTGAATGAGACTTTCCACAATGCTATCTTCTCCGTTGACTGCAGCAACTTGAAGGGGCGTAAAGTAGTCGTTAGGAAAATCAATGTAGGAATTATGCTCGATTAGTAGTCTGACGACGGAGTCATGACCATATTTTGCAGCCTGAGCAAGTGCAGTCCAACGTTCATTATCCTGTAAATTGACGTCCGCACCGTAGTGAATAAGCTGTTGCACTAAATCTTTGTATCCCTTCTTGGCGGCCCAAGTAAGAATTGTGCAATCATCCCGACCGATGCCCGTCTTGCAACTTGAGTTAGGGTTGAGCCCCTTATTGACTAGAAGAGTGACCAACGCAGGATCGTCATCCTCAACTGCTGAAAGTAGCACGGATTCGATCTTGCATCGATCGCTTGCCAGGTCAATTTCAAGGAAGAAATCGACTACTTCCATGTGACGGTTCTGAAGAGCATAGAGGCGGGCAGTATCCCCTTCATGATCGATGGCTTCCATATCGGCTCCTTCCCCAACAAGAAGCTTTACCGTGAGTATATGACCAGATGCGGCAGCCAATACCAGGCTGGTTTGTGACTTTGAATTTCTGGCTTCCAGGTCTGCACCTTTCTTTAAGAGGATTTTAACCGCTTCTGTATGGCCTTTCCTAGAAGCCAACAGAAGCAGTTCTCCTTTGACGTGAGAATCTCTATGCGCTTTTAGCCTTTTCTGACATAAGAGAGTTTCCACTAAATTAGCATGGCCCCTTTCAACAGCGTAGTGCAATGGGGTGAAGTCTTGCAGATCCGCTCTGTTGATGTCACAGAAGGGCAGTAGCCGGGAGACCACATCAGAATATCCCTGTTTACAAGCATAGTGTAGGGCCGGAAGCAGCTCCCCACTCAGCGGTAAATCACAAATGCGTCGTATGTGGTCTGGAAATTGCATTGTAAGTCTGAAAAGTGGCAAGTGGCGTTCCCTGACTGCCCATCCAAACATGGCTTGCAAGTGCGAGAACTGAGACCGAGCATCTGCTCTCCATGGATGAAAGCCCCAACTTTCATTAGACGTCAGTGCCAAGAGCTTAAACATGTCCCACAGAGGATCTTCCTCCGAGAAATGTTTGGTATGAGTGGTCCAATGACTTCGTGCATAGAACAGAAACCGATAGCGCGCCAAAGATGGCGATGGCACAGTACGTACGGGGGGCGAAGGTAGTGAGACAGACAAATGATGCTTTAGCCTCGATGGCAAAAGACTTTTTATAAGCCGAAAGCCTGGTACATGCTTTGGAAGCAAGTCCTTGCCACGCACATTCCATTCCACAGACCTTGTTGTCCTTGAAAGATGAAGGTGGAAATCAGAGAACGAAAGATACGTGATGCAAAGACGTCCACATATTTGATTTCCTGAGCGGACTGACTCTGGAAATTGAAGCAAATGTGCATCGAAACTGCTGTCGAGGTACTGGCAGATTGATGGGTGTGCAAAGCGCGCACAGCTATCGACAGGGTCCAAGACGACGAGGTTTGCGCACCAGCCCAAGATAAAGTCACATCGTGGAATCTTTTCCCGGTCCCAACATTTGTCGCTCAAGTCCAAGGCTACTGCCTCCTGCAGTTCTTCACAATGAAGCGGTCGTGCACTGAAGCGAACCCAAATAAGTGTTCTGATAGCACGAAGATCGTGACATTTATCCTCTTCAAACAGCGCTGGTATGTTTCCTCAAGACCCTTTGGTAAGGTTGCTAAAGCGACACGTATTTCTTGCTCGGTGGCACAAGTGTACCAAATAACCTCGATTTGCAGATAAACCCACAGAAACCTGCATTCTATCAGTAAAGGTTGCACGTAATATAAGTTTTATGGGCTTGATTTACATTCCCGAAGACTCTTGCAGTAAAATATTTTCCATATCCCTGATAAGCCGATTGTCTTCAGTAAGCGGTTGAAGCACCATTCGGTCTGCAATACTTTCTCTTATGTAGACTTGGATATCTTGTAACACATTGTAAGTCGTGGAGATCTGAGGTACTTTTGGAAGGTATGTCGCGACACTTGTGCCTCCCACAAAGTATTCTCTGCTGAAGATGAGTAGCCGTGGGCCTATGGCTTTATCCCCGCCGGTTCGGCATAGTGATCGAAAGCAAGTAAGGAGACGCCTTGCGTCTGCCTGTTCCAACGCATCAAGGCCATCTATTACATAGGTGGCATTTGACACATCAGAAGACAAAATAGCAAATATGTCCTCCAAATCATCAATATCCGGAACTTCCCTTTCGCTTCCGAAATATCTTTGCAGCATTTTTTGGCCGTTTTCCGAGAATGGTTGAGCCCTCTTGATGATGAATTCTGTCAGTTGACGTATGAGGCTCGAGAGCAACTGAGATAGATCCGAATCATATTGCACGTCGCAGTAAAAGAAAATGATAGGGGCATGGGGTTGCAACGACTTTCTACGCGCTTCTTCAATTGCGGTGGCTCTATTGGGTCATCAGTACAAGGCTCTTCCTCAGTCATAGACAACAATACTCACGCAATAATGGATTTCCCAGAACCTACTGTGACACTGTAAGTAATCAATGCCATGCATGCGAGGTCTGGAGGGCACTTACTCTTACCAGAGCACCATAGCCAAGGATAGGCCCTGTTAGAAAACCAGGCCTGAAATTCCGGGTGATCTAAGAACCATTGTGTAGTTCCAAGGAGCCTTTTCCGTGAAAGCCGCTGGTGTACTCTTTCGTGATCGTAGCGTGTGATACGCGCCAGAAAATCGTCATCAAAAGCGAACCCTAAGCCAACGCATAAGTTTTCTGAAACATACTACCCGACAGTTCCTTACTCGACTTGCTGACCCAACCACTGGATAATGGCTCCCTTCTCGAAGAGTCATTACCAATCTGCCCTGGTGCCGCAATTTGTCAGTCCCCATTCAATGGAACCTATGACTATATACCACGTGCACTTACAGTCCAGGCTTAACGCGGCAGTTGGGGTCTCTAGAACAGAATGCGTCGGGATCACAGCGAGGAGCTCTTTCGCGTAGGCAGCTGCCGTCAAGGAGGCATAGCCTTGCCAGTCTTTCTTCTTGTGCGTGTCAGCGTAGTCGCAGATTCCTCGGATAACAAGGCATGGGAAATTATCCATCAAGCCAGCAGCTTCCATCTCAAAGCACAGAATACCATATTTCTTTGCAATTTTATCCCGGAGCTTTCCGTCCTTGACGACCATGTTACCTGATGCGATCAAGCCGTAGTGAATTCCACATGGCTGTTCCACGCTCGCATTCCCCCACTTAGCGTATCTTCTGATGATTGCGGACACCGAAAAGTAGCCGCCATACAAGGGTTTACCGCAAGGACTTTTGAGACTAACTCCGAGACCCGACTCGGCTTTTGCAGATGTGCTGCCCGGAGTCTAGAGATTGCGGTCAGCAACACCGTCGGCGGTTTGTTCAACATTCCCGTGTGCTCCCATTCACCCCCATCAATCGCTTTTCCATAATCATATTGTATAACTCCTCCATATTCACGAGTGGGCTTGCTCACGACAACATCCCCGAGCCGAACTCCAGCGTCACGCACCCCTCCGCCCACTCCGACCATCAGTCCAAACCGAAGAGATGGGAAACGTATGCGGACTTCAGTAGCTATGACCGCTGCAGGATTAGTCCCGTAAACCCCAGACGGTAGACTAGCAATAACAACGCGGTGGCCGTGACAGACACCGAAAGTATATGTATTGTTGTCATGAGGTTGGGCGGGCAGGTCGGGTAGACGCTCGTCCAGCAGCGCCTCGGCAGCTGCCATCTCCACGGGCAAGGCGCAGATCCAGGCTACGGTGAAGTCTTCATGGCGAAGGGAGGAAGTTGGCGAGCTCATTTGCTGTATCTCAGGCAGAGAATATTCTGTTTAGCGGTGACTGGTGACTGGTGGTTTTGGTATTGTGTTGGAATGTGTAGAAGGATTGACGGAAGTTGGAGATCGGCGAAACTGAGACGCGCAAGGCTGGATCTTTAGCTGAGTGGCTAATGGCAGGGATTGACGTGGCAGCAAAAAGCATCGAACTTTCTTTTTTTTTTAACAGCTGACTAGGCTTAGAAAATGAGCCTAAAATTGCAGAATATTGCAAAAGGTTGATCTTATGAAATTATTATGTTGGAACACCACAGAAAATGAGGGATAGTACTAAGAGGAGGAGTTACCAGAACCTCTCCTGCAATGCATCATCAGTCTACCGGGTTATAGGCGATATTGGTAATCATTCAATCATGTCGCTAATCCGATGAAACCTGTGCAACTCTACTCAATTCTAGGGGCGTTGCAAAACTGTCACTGTCCATAATTCTCCATAACATCCAGCCAAACCAACCATTCGGGATAAACATGAGGCCGCTCATAATCAGGGTTAAACGAGTCCCGCTCAAATCCCACGCCCGGCCTGACAATACCATATTCGTCAAATGGATTTAGCCCATTTCCATACAGAAACTCGTGTACTTCCTTTTCAATCCAGATCCCTAAGCCAGGCCGTCTATTCCACATTACATCCACACCCACAACAAGCTTAGGCCTTTTACTAATACTCCGATATCTCCACCGTGTACGGTTCCGGATTCCTTCGATCATGATTGACCAATTGTCAATATAGGGCTCCGAAAAACTCAGAAAGCTCAGTTCGACTGAGCGGATGGTGAGGGGCAGTCGATCCAGAAGTCTGACCATGTCAGTGGTATGCACTGACAAGCCTGAGAGTCCAAAGTGGTGTAGTCTCTGCCACTGGCTGACAGGAAAGACGGTATCAAGTCGAATATTCGAAAAGTAAATATCACTAGACGAGTTTTCCTGCAGCGCAGACACATTGGCCTTGAAGCTGAAGTGCTCTAAACCTGCTGCAGCTCTCAACACTTCCCGCAAATTCCCGTTGCAGAAAATCGGCCATCCACGTTCATGTTGGTTGGGGCAAATAATAGCAAGATCAAGTCGTTTGAAGCCTGGCTGTTTAAGAATGATTAAAAGGTTCAGAAGCTCCTCACAGGGTTGTTCGAAGATCGTGTAATTGATCCCTGTGTTCAGCTGCTTCACATCAAAAAGGAGCTCAGAGACGTTGTGATGCTCCCTATCTCTTGCCAGCACATGTAGTGCAGCCCGAACTCCACGCCATCTGTCCTTCCAGCGCTCATGCAAATCAGTCCACACAGAAATGTCTGGATGATTCTCCTTGTGTGTCGGCCATCCGCAAGGGATAGGATAATTAAACCCGGGCGGGAACGTGCGAATCATGGGTGTCTGATAAAGAGGATGGAAGATTCGTGCATGGGTAACAGGTGTAACTGTGACTCGTTTTAGGGCTGGAAATTGCTTCAGCCCATATTCAAAGGCTTCCACGTCGGCGTTAATTCGAATGTTCTCTTCCTGTTCCTTACTCATTTTCTCATAGAGAGCTAAGGATTCTTTCAGCCATACCGTGGAAGCAACATCTTGCTCGGCCCGCTCTATGCAATCCGCTAACCCCGTAGAGTCGGTCTGGTACCTCCGCAAATCTGTAATATTTTCTCGGCAAGCATTGATGTACCAAAGTTCAGCTCCTGCGCAAGTGCCCTGCTCTCGTAGATTTCGCCCGTAGTCTAGCACCGAGAACTGGGGTGGGAGTAACAGCCGCGTGTCATCCCACATAATCTCTTTGATGTGCCGGCGATACACTTCGTGGTCGGCAATTGCACGGAAGACATCAAGGTTACGTTGGTCAGCGGATAAAAAAACACGTTCGATACGTAAGTGCGCGATTTCGTGCAGAAGGTGGGACGTTAGGCGTAAAGACTTTATATCACGGTTGGATAGATAAGATACGATCGTCGCAAGTAACTTGATTGGAAGGCTCGTAAAAGTTTCTGCTGTGTTCCCTCTGGATCTGGGCACCATCTTGTCCTGAGGCGAAAGTGAGGGTTATAGCGAGGAGAGCTTCTGGAAACGCTAGAGATAATGATGTCTGGATATCTCACCCACGATATATATGTCAGATGTTTAGAGGATATGATATTCAAAAACAGAAAGCCACCATAGTGGACCAGGGTGACCCTAGCAAAATTGACTGGGATAAAATTCGAGTAAGGAAGCGAGGAGAGTCCCACATAATAGGATTTTCTTTACTTCCCTTGTCATATTTGAATTCGGTGAAGCGTTATGTTGCGAGGGTCGGAGGAAAGCAGTCATGCATTTGTCAGAAACTAAGCAAAACACCCTATGGTGAGTGTTCAATGTAGTCGGGAAATACATCCACTGGTGTGCCACACCGGTATTTATCGATTATGTACTTGAATTATGTCGCGAGGTGCCTATAAGCTCTTTAATTGCTCATGAGGGCAAGACGATGCCCAATATTCTCAAATCGGCGCTATTTCAGGCCTCCAAGGGTACCATTCTGGTAGGTGGGACCATCCTTCGAACAGCTAGAGCCTAGGTAATAGATAGCGCGAAGCTTAAAAGCTGTAGCAATGTACATGGAGTGGGATTGATTCTATTAGTTAGTGGTACATATCCAGGTCCTCCACTATTTTGCGTCGGTCGATATCGTCTCTTGTAGCAACCGAATTTCTTCCAACAAAGCTTGCCCGCCATTTTTTAACAAAAGCTGAGCCACTGTTGCACCCAGCGCCTCAGCATCCTCATCCGTTCCCACTTCCGCTGTCGTCCGTTCGGATAGCAATGTTGTCCCATGGGGATGAATAATAGTACCATCTAGTCGCAATCGAGCTGCCGAGGAAGCTGTCGGTGCCTGCTCGACAGTGCATTGTACTGCAACTGGAGACGAACAGCCACCCTGAAGAGTGCGCAGCAGTGAGCGCTCTGCCAAACAGATCCGTCTGGTAAGCAGGTCTTCGATTTTGCGAACCATGGTCTCTGTCTGGGTATCCTGCTTGCGGATTTCAATGCCCAGGGCGCCCTGACCGACAGCATACGGAAATTCCGAGGGAGGCAAGCGCTGAGTGATGCGGTCTTCTAGATTAATGCGGACCATACCAGCCGTGGCCAGGATGATTGCTGAAAATGGACCTTCTGGGTCATCTAGCTTACGCAGTCGCGTTCCGCTGCCAGGCCAAGTCAGAAAAAAGTCAAGTATCAGGGACAGTAAGGGACAGTGTTCTTACAGATTTCCACGGCATTCCTCCACTTTCAAGTGTGGGTATCTGTATCGAAGTAGGGCTTTCCGTCTAGTGGAACTAGTGCCCACCACGGAGCCGGGGGGCAATTGACTCAGATCCGTATATTGCGACCGCAGCCCCTCCTTCATTACCAACGCATCGGTGGGATCCTCCCGATAAACAATAGCCCCCAGTGTGCAATTCTCTGGTAGGCGCGTCGGCATATCTTTCAGGCAATGCACGAGGAGGTCCAGCTCTCCTGCGCACAGCTTGGTTTCCATCTCTTCGGTCCAAATGTTCTTTGCTGCATCAGATGGCCCTGCAAACTTCAAGAAAGGACTGCTCTTATCAGCATCGCCGCGCACCACCACTGTTTGCCAGGGAAACTGTACACCGGGGTGAGCACGGGTCAGTTCCTTGGAAACATGTTCTGCTTGTACTAATGCCAATTTGGAATTGCGGGTGCCCAGGCGCAGCTCCTGTACTGTGGCCGGTGTAATCTGTGACATCTCAAAGTTCGCGATAGAAACTGTGAAATTTGACTTGTGTGTAGTTTGTAGGTGACTATTAGACTTCGTGAAGTTGAGGATTACAGGTTTCAGTTCGCCTGTAGTCAAATCAATCGATAAACTAGCCAAGATTAGGTGACTAAGAGATAAGCGCTTGTATGTTTTGAGACTAGTGATCCAGAGTGGAGGCCTGAGAAGAACCGTCCTGTTATCGATCATTAACTCAAACTCAGCGAATGTAGAAATTTGCCAGTGGAGATATTGGAATTCAAGTAGCCCATTAAGTTTGGTTTGGCAACCATGCGATGTTTTTAATACCTGGGTTTTAGTGCATCACCCGGCAATGAATCTTCAACGAGACGCCGAATCTCTCTTCTCGAGAAATCATCCACAATGATAGAGCTGAATTTATCAAGGATGACGAGTAGCCAAGAGATGAGCTTTCTAAGGACAAGTCATGGTTTTCATGTCAATGTTATCCAGAAGACCCGTCCATTCGGGGATATTTCCCTGTACCAGATCTGGTCGAGCGTGTGCTGAGGAATAATACTATCGCGGACGTAAGATAGACATCTATCGGGACCGGGATGAAGACAAGAAAGATATTATTTCCCTGGTAACTTTCAGACTGATTGATAAAGGAGGAATTACAATTGTGGGAGCCGATCACCACAAATATAATTACCAACACTGGCAAGACAATTGATTCGTGGTCTCGCGCACCTCAACCCCTGAACTAGTTGAAATAACTGTCTATCGCTGGTAATCAAGATCAGGATGTCTGACCCTTGGATTCTGACTATATCATTTTCAGCAAGCAGAAAAGAGTATAGTCATTAAGCCTTCTTGTCTAACCCAGATAAGATCTTCTGTTCTCCACTTAATATAGGTACTCTTATACTGACTAGACCCTCAGCAATGTATACTATTTGCTCGGGCTTTCAAGCCGTAGTAGAAATGGCTCCCAGCGTTCGAGATCACCATCGACGGCGATACAATCTTGAGTCTGATGTGCGAAGTCGACGCATCGCAAAAGCCAGAAGAATACGAGTTAGCGACCCAGCTTGAAGAAAGGATGATGACGCTACGGTCGGGAGCCCTCCCCAAAATACCATGAAAGATCTACAGAATGCTCAGCAAGCGCCCAACATAACGCCGAACTCATTACAATCAGTGACCCTCCTGACCCGCCTGCGAAGAGACAAGGAGCCTGGGTGTTCCATGGTATCTACTGGCGAACAGCTGATGGGTAGAGTATCTGCCCTACCACGGAGACTTCGATAAATTCATACATCAGGACGGTTTTCGGATCTTGAACGTGGATAATGACGCCCTGGAAGAATGGAGAGAAGAGGAGTAAGACACAGTTCCGGAGATAGAGCGCAAGTCAAATGCGGTCTTGGATGGTGTGGCTTTCTTTGCAGCGGGAGTCGCCATCTTTCTGATGCCACAAATCACGGCAGCAAATGTAGTTAGGGGTAATAGTAGTGTGAAGTAGGTTGTGGTAAAGACCATGGCTCCAAGCGTATAATAATCTTATGCGCAGACGAGGTGTTCAACACCGGCTTCCATGATTCTGAGAGGTAGCGAACGGACTCGATCCAATTTAGCTTTCTGTTCGGAGTAAAACACGTGTGGGCAATTTAATCAGCGCCACGACTAATGCCGGGATTCTGGTCACGAGAAAACAAGCTGAAGTTGAAAGAGACAAGTTGTTGTGTTGTTAATTCTACGGGGAGGTGAAGTAATCACCACGTTTCTGCTGGCCTGTCACTGCAGCACTGCGGATGCATCAAACCCTACATATTCCCGAGCCGTGCCCCGGAGCTTCAATAAGTGTTGAGCGGGACACCCCTTGCATCTAGAATTGACATATAATATTACACCTCTTCTTCCTTCCTCGTGGCGGAAATTTATGTGAGGTTTGACACTCTGCTCTGTCACATTTCATTGGACCCTTTGGATTGGCTATAACATGAGCCGTTTGTCACAATGCTATGCAGGGTTAAGCATCCAAAAAGATAACCACCCAATGCAAGCCGGGTTATGAGAAATTTTCAGATGTTCAATAACATGTTAAGAAGGATATGATATCCTCGGCCCAATAAATCAGTGCTAATTTGACGCTCAGCCGGAGAGACGAATTCCAGCTGACAGCCTGGAAAATAGCGTAAACCACGATATGTTCTATAATTACTTCCAATGTACCCCTTACAGACTTCTCAAACCTCCTCAGACTACCGAAGAGAAGGTACTCCGTACTGAATGATTAGAAACACAGTGCAGCGGGGAAGACACGTGCATCCTCGGTCACTCTCAAAGTTGAGACTTCGCTTCGAGGTTTTGTGCAGATCCCCCTCCGTTCTAATGAGTTGACAGTCCCTGAAGAGTATCCTCCGCCCGATGGATCATCAAACAGCCTATTTTAGTCCCAACGTTCGTGCCGATCCAGAACTAACATTGCAAATACGCAAATACGACACGATATGTTGCCCTTTTTTGAGGATTCATTGCAACAGATGATACACAGTCCGTTCAGCATGGACCCCCTGAGCCTCGCATTTAAGATGGCCAAAAGACCTCGTCGTACCAGACATGGCCCAAGCCAAAGCTATTCAAGTCCAAGATGATAGCAGCTGCTTTTCTTCTGGCCGCAGTGGCCCCTGTTCTGGCAGCCCCGAACACCGACGCTGTGTCCGTTTGCCAACACCTACACACGGTTTACCCCCAATACACCGTCTGGGACCCCACAGGCACCTACGCAACTGAGACATTCTGGAACCAGTCCTACTACAGCAATGCAGTCAAGGAGTACTGGAACGGTGTGAACGCTGACAACCGTCCAGCCTGCGCCTTCTTCCCTGCAACCGCGCAACAGGTCTCCGTTGCAGTCCAGCAGCTGAACAAATATCCCACAGCACCCTTTGCACTTAAAGCAGGCGGACACAACTTCAATGTGGGGTTTTCTAGTACCAATGGAGGCGTCCTTATCTCGTTCAACGAGAATATGTCCTCCACCGCCCGCAACTCAGACGGCCAGAGCTTCGACATCGGTCCGGGAGCACGATGGGGTGATGTCTACGCCGTCACGCAGAAAACAAACCAAGTCGTGGTAGGTGGCCGATTGGCCAATATCGGCGTGGCAGGCCTCACAACTGGAGGAGGACTGTCATACTACTCAGCTCAATACGTACTACCTTACCCTCATCCCCCCTCTGCCCCCAATACCAACGTCCCAGCACTAACCCAACTCAGGGTCTAGCATGCGACAACGTCGTCAACTTCGAAGTAGTCCTAGGCAATGGCACCATTGTCAACGCAAACAGCACCTCCAACCCAGATCTCTGGTGGGCCTTGCGCGGAGGCGGCAACCGCTTTGGCATAGTCACCAAGTTCACACTCAAGGCCCATCCACTCGGCGACAACGGACAAGTCTGGGGCGGCATTCGCTCCTATACTGCCGACAAACGCGAGCAAATATTTGAAGCGCTCTCCAACTTCACCAGCGAATACCCAGACACCAAAGCTGCCATCATCCCGACCTTCGACTTTGGCCTGCCCGGAGCCCTGGTCTCCAACCCCGGTATTTTCTTCTTCTACGACGGAGCCAAGCCCAGCGCCAACGCCTTTGCCGGATTTGAAGATATTGAACCCTTCATTGACTCTACTAAAACCACAACCTACACCGATCTAACGAACGCGGTAGGTGGAGCCAAGATCTACGGCATCAACGCCGCCATCCACGTCAATACCTTCCCCAACATGCCGTCCCAGCAGATGACCCAGCTGTTTGAGACCCATTGGACTACGTACCAATCTATGATCAAGAATGATTCCTCCCGGAACTTGGACTTTCAGCTCGGTACTTTTACCCCGCAGCCGCTGTCGGTGCGTATTGCTCGTGCTTCTCAGAACGCTGGTGGTAATGCTCTCGGTTTGGACCCTGCCAACGGTGATCGTGTCTGGGTCGAGAATGACTTGATCTGGGTCAACCCGGTTTGTAACGATGCTTGTCCTGAGTACTTGCGCGAGGTTGGGGATACATTGAAGGAGGCGTTTAATAACACTCTGCTGGGAACAAAGCCGACGCACTATCAGTCGGGTGATGTTGATTGGATCTCGTAAGTCTCCCTTCTCTTACCGTCATCTGTTAGTGGTGTTTAGAACAGTTCACTGATGATTGTAGCTCCAATCCCCTATTCATGAACGATGCCGCCGACTACCAGGATGTGTATGGCAGTTATGGACCTACGAACAAGGCGAGATTGGCGAGCATCGCTAAGGCGTATGATCCAACTGGATTCATGTTCCGCCAGGGCGGATGGTCGTTCTGAACTTGGTAGGTTCCTAAAACGGAGGAGTGCAATGAATGTACAGTTTGTTGGATGATAATCTATCGTGCGTAGTTGACTGTTGAGGATGCACGTACCCTATAGTATACCGTCAGCTGGATAATGGAATATGATAATGCTTTCTCTAAGACTTACAGTGGAATTCGGCATACAACGCTGACCTTATTGTTCAGCGACTGGTAATTCTGTTGATACACCCCCAGTGTACGGCGATAAGCAGACTCTACATCTGATCAGATATCCTTTAAGAGACTATCTTGAACATACCAGCAGTAACAAATGATACAATACAATAAAATCTAACCCATAACGCTAGTAGAGTATAATCGACGAAACAAAAGCTCCCCTCCCCTAGGCCAACCTACTCCTTCTTCCCCGGACAAACCCACTACACTCATCAATCCGACTCAAAAAGAACAAATCAAAGACAAAACAGACCGCACGAGGTCCACATCCCGTATGAACCCCAGCTTAATCATATTTAAAAGGCATACGCCCTACTTGAAAAGTCTGCCCAGCAGACCTCCCGCAAGGTTACTCATGACCCCACCCGAAAGCGCACTATTCGCGAACGTCGAAGCCTGGCTGAAGCGATCGCACCGGGAGAACGCAACAGTGTTGGTGATGGTTAGGGCGAGAGCAATGGCTGTATCCAATTAGTATTCCACACTCCTTGTATACCTGCTGGAGGCGAGAGTCTAAGAATAAACTCACCAACAAGACTCAACCAAATCACACTGCTCAGACGGATAATAGCTAATATGGCGAGGCCGATCCACAGCGCAGGTGTCACGTACAGACTCAGCCAGAAGAAGCGCTTGTCCGTGGCAGTGATAGTGCGGGTCGTGGGATCGGAGGACTCGAAGACCCAAGTGGAGTCGCCGGAGGAAGTGTTGACTTCGTTCCACCAGCGGAGACCGACCAGGCGACGACCGGCAATGTTTTTGAGGTAGTAGAAGTCGGCGGAGAGGATGAGGAGGGTGATGATGAAGACGAGGACACTGGTTGCGGTGGTTAGCTGGGTTGGTTGCTTGGATCTAGATTGTGCAGCTTTGGGAGGTTCCGGAATTGAAGAAGGAAAGAGTGATGATCATGAATTTGAGTGTGAAAGGAATTTACGCACAAGTTCTTGATGAAGAGCACGCCGAAGAGGTACATCAGTAGGGCGCTGATGCGAAAGCCCAGGAAGAACAGGAGGGTAATCGGGTGAGCACTGAGGCGCCAGTTCAGTTCGCCCTGCTGCGGCTGGAGCGGTTGCTGTTCCATGATGACGGAGAGCGTGCAGTATGAAAACAAGAAGTATCTTCTGATAACAGTCCAATGCACATGAGATAGACGGCAGTCAAGCAGCCTCCTGGCGAGTCCAGATCATGCGAGGCGGGATTGCGTTGATGCTGCGTGTCTCCAGCCAGGGGGCGGTGGGGCACGGCAGAATGTGGAGCGGCAGACGGTTACTTGACACTCTTTTCATCTTATTTCTCCGACTCCCCTCTGTTTCATGCGCGATCGGCACACGGGTTCATTTATATTGCCCGAGCTGAGCGCTTGCTAAGGGTGTAAACCCATATTCACTACAAGAGAATGGTGCAAACGTCAATGGAACGAACTAAAACACGCGCGAGTCGCGACACCTGCCGGATGAGGTCATCGGCCGGTTCCTGACTGGAGAAGCCTTTATGCGCAAACCGAGGATCTCTTAAAGTTGCGGGTCAATCCGCAACCGCTGCAGCTTCATCCGATATCTCCATTTCTTCAATCCACCGGAGAAATCGCAGTTAACTCAGTGCAATAGCCACTCACTATCATCTTTCAAACTGAGCACTCTCCTCCCATCCACAATGGCAGCCAGAAATACCCTCCGTCGCGCCCTTCTCTACAGTACGTCCCTTCCCCCGTCTCTTCCCAACCCGCAGCTCTCCCCGCATTTCCACCCTTATCCCACTCCCCAACCTGCCCATCCGGCTATACCAATTCACCCCTAAACTAACCCGTCCAATCCCAGTCCCGGGCTCCTCCCAACGCTTCATCGACAAATCCCGCACTCTAACCGCCGACTGCGTGGCCTACGATCTCGAAGACAGCGTAACTCCGCACAAGAAAGCGGAAGCTCGGTCCCTGGTGCGGAGAGCGCTTGACGAGCCCGCACCGCAGGGAATCCGCGAACGAGCCGTGCGAATCAACTCCGTAGACAGCGGACTCGCCCTAGGCGATCTCACCGAAGTGGTACGCATCAATTTTTTCCCAAATTTTACCCTCTTCAATCCAATATACTAACATCCAAATAGCTCAAATCCCCCAACCTCACCACAATCGTAATCCCCAAAGTCAACACCCCCTCGGACCTCACCTTCGTAAACGACGTCATCACACACACTCTCTCCCAACAGCAACAAACACAAGACCCCTCAACCCCAAGAACTCCCATTTCCCTCCTCGCCTTAGTCGAATCCGCCAAATCCCTCACAAACCTCACCCAAATCTGCGCTTCCACGCCCCTCCTGCAAGGCCTCATCTTCGCAGCGGAAGACTTCGCTCTCGATCTCAGCATCACTCGCACCCCATCACTCACTGAATTCCTCTTCGCAAGGTCCATGATTGCTACTGCTGCTCGCGCTGCAAACCTCCCCTCGACTATTGATTTGGTCTGCACGGCGTATAAATCAACCAAGGGGGACGGGTCTCCGCCTGCGGTGCTGGAGGAGGAATGTCGTGATGGGAGACGGCTGGGATTCAACGGGAAGCAGTGTATTCATCCGTCGCAGGTGGAGACGGCGCAGGCGATCTTTGGACCGGATCAGGAGGAAGTTAAGTGGGCTGTGAGGGTGTGTGTGGCGGATGAAAAGGCTGCCAGGGCCGGGCGGGGTGCGTGGACGCTGGATGGGAAGATGATTGATGTGCCGGTAGCGGAGAAGGCTAGGGCGGTGGTTAGGAAGGCTGAGGCGTGTGGATTTGATGTTGGGGGTTTGAGGGAGGAGTGGGGGCACCAGGAGCCGGAGTGATGAAGATGATTGATTACAGATGATGTGCGTGTCTTTGGGTGAGTGGAGTTATATACAAGTAGTCAAGCCGGTTGACAAAACAAAGATAGTAACTATATATGATAGTACTTGTTGGGTGAGGGGGAGGTAGAACCGAAATGAGATTAAGAAAGAGTTTGAGTAGATAGTCTAATGATCACCTCTTACACTCCGTGGTATTGGCTTCCCTACAAGGATTCTCATAAACCCTGGTATTCTCCAAAGCGTGCACGAGGTTGAGCTGGAATGCGACGTTGACTTTGAGGATCAGAAATCAAGAAAGGGTTCCCTTGAGGGTTTGAGGAAAATTTGCTGTGTATTATTGCTTTGACTCCAGGTCTTCGCGCTTCAACAGCTGGATCTTGCCCATGGTCAGGACGGGCTGGTCCGCATCCGCCTTGCCGTTGGCTTCGTCTTCCAAACTCTTGGCTAATGATTTATCGTAGCTGGTGGGGTCAATCCCCAGGATGCCTCCAACATATCCGCCCCGCTCGCCGGGGACACTGAACTCGCGGAACAGGTACTTCCATTCATTCAGCCATGCCTTGACGGCCTTGCCGATCTTGTCCTTGCCGTTCTTTGAATGATGGCCCGTGCCCGTGATGGCGTAGACTACGCGCCGGCCTTCGCGGGCATGTTTGAGAAGGATCTTCTCCAGGTATTCAATGGCCTCCTCGGGATGCAAGCCATGCAAATCAACATAGAGTTCCTCCGCTGCATCATCCAGACCAGCGTCTAAGAGATGTTTGTTACGTTCTTCGTATAGTTGCCGTGCTGCTTCCCGATGACACTTGCGCATGGCTTCGTTTTCAGCCTGTCCCCGCAGAGACAGAGCTTTTGCGGCTCTTGCGTCATTGCGGTTCCACGCTTGAGCAGCACTATCCGGACAATCAGCTCCAAGCCTTCTGACTTTGAAAGAGTATCAACGTACCTCTGAAGGAATTTGTTCCGTACAGTACCATGGCGGATAGCCTCCGTCCGGTATTTGATATATTGTTGGTTCGCTCGGGAACCAGTTTCCAACCAGGGAATATTCTGCGGCGGTGGGATTGCCTGAGCGGCTGCGCTATGCTCACGGCCTTTAGCCCCATCCCGATTGTTTTTAGACGAAGTCTTCCCCTTCCCTGGTGCCGGAGATGGGGACATGCGAACCACGTCCGCTAAAGATGTAGGCATGTTTTCTCTGCTTGAATTATTGTCGCGATTTCCGCGCTTCCCATGATGCTTCTTGCCGGTGTTTTTGGCACTGACAGCAGCAAGGGTGGGGAATGCGTCTGGATCATCGACCGATGGGGCAGCCGGGTTCAGCTCACGATGCTGATGCCGACTCCCTGGTCGGGAATGGGGGCGGGACAGGTTGGTCATGCTTCCATTCCGCTTGCCAACAGCAAACTGCATGGCCTGAGGCACGTATTTGCTGCCAGAGAACGCGGACAAATGGCCAGGATACTTGCCAAGATACTGGCCAGCCCATTGGTCTCCCATCCCGGCAGTAGACTGCAGAGGAGGAAAGGCATCTGAGGTACTTTCCATGTGGAATGACGTGCCAGGCGATCCTGTGCCGGGAGTACCGTCTGTCACACTGAGATTCGCAACGAGAGCTGAAGGGTCATGCGAAAAGGGACAGCCGTCACCTGCCAAGCAGTTCCCCATAACCCAATACCTATACCAACGCGCTGCTATTAGTGTCCTATTCTTGCGAAAACAACACATTGAGAGGCTCAGGAGTATACTCACTTGCAAAGGTGGTTGGTTAGATCATGACTGAAACGGCAATCTGCACGGAGACATTGGCCGGTAGACAGCCAGTACTTGCAGACCACTGGACTGCGACTGTTGCTCGGAGGTGTAGCGATCTTGGGTGGCTCCATTGACATGGACTTTCCGACCACAACGTGGCCATCCTCCGCGTGCTGCAAGATGGGGTCACCGTCACCAGGTTGTGATAGCGACGCGATCGTCGCGCCCAAGTCGTAGCTGTTGGCTTCCAGAGCCGCCTCAATTTCATCGTTCGATCGCTTGTCTCCCAGGACAGTGCGTAAGATATCATGCGGGCTCATATCGGGCACAAACTCGGGTGCCGTGGCGCTCAATCCTCCTGTGATGCTCGGAGTCCCAATGGACGAGGTGACGCTATTCGCGTCGTCGGCAACCAGCCAGTCCACATTGCTATCGCTTCCCAAGTCACCGTAGAAATCGGACACTTGGCTCTGATCGGAGAATTCGTATGCGTTTAGGTTGGGAGAGTGAGGGATGGGTTGCGCAAGCGCTAGTCGAGGCGATGGGCGCGGAGAAGTGAAAGGCGATACGGTGGAGGACAGGGGTGGCCGGGATAAGCCGCCTCGGGAGCTCTGGAGCCAGGAGGTACTTCCGGGGCTCGTGCCTAGGTTCGAGTGAGGAGATAACGGGGTCGCAGAACGCGCCATCTGCCAAGGGGCAGGAGACGAACGGCGAATCACCGTGTGACGGGGCGGCGGAGGGGAGGAGTCTGGTAAGGTGCGATTGCGATGGCGCCAAAGGATGTCGAGGACGGCATTTTCTAGAGACGGACCTGATAAGGAGGTCTTTTCGCGTACGAAATCCTCTATTTTCTCGACCTGCTCTTCTTCGTCCAGAGCTTGATCCTGGAGGATGCGAAGACAATCCTCGAGGAGGTCTTCTTGAATCATGCTGGATCGTCAGGGGTGTTGTGAACGAAGGAAGGCAGAAGTAGGAGGGCGACGGAGGATACACGGTGTGTGCAGGAAGATGTGGGGTAATCGGCGTTTGGAGATTGGGAACAGTAATCAAATCAGATCAAGGAGACAACAGAAGACAGGTCAGATTCGATGATCCACGTCCATGATTTGTTCCCAGGACCGCTGGAATTCATGAAACGAATATAAAAGCTTGATGGAAAAAAAAGAGGGATGTTAGCAAGGTTGACAGGCGACAGGGGACAAGCTGGAAGTCCACGGGTGATTACATCGCATCAGCCGTCGTGCAATGATCGATGATGACGGGGAGGGGGGAGAAGAGAGTGGATCCGGGAAAACGAAGGAAGGGAGGGAGAGAGAAGATAAGAAGAGGAGACGGGATGGAGAGATGGAAAAAGGAAGTCCAAAGAGGGAGGACGCGCAAGACACACAGAAGAGAGAGAAGAAGGAGAGAGAGAGAGAGAGAGAGAATAGAAGGAGGAGGAGGAGGAGTGAGAGGGGTAAAGCCAGCAAGTAGAAAGAAAGAAGGGGAGAGAAGCAGGAAAGAGGGCAGCAAAGCAAGTCGGAGAGAGCGGAGGGATTTGGTATTGATTGATTGATGGTTTTATGCCCCCCTCAAACAATTACTACGCGGTGTCTCCCGATAGATCTCTCTTCCAACCAACACACCTAAAAAGGTACTCTTGTTATTTTCATTTGTCGTTAATGTTTTTTTTCTTTATTATTGACAGGCCATCAACCAAAGCTGAAGCTTCCGGGACGCGATTTGACTCTCAACCAAAGAAACGGCAGTGCTATCACCGTCCAAGTTTCCCCCCCCCCCCCCCCCAAAAAAGGGGGGGAGGAAATCTAGACTGGCAGCTAATTCCTCACTAAGAATTGGGCTTCCTGGTCGATCTGCCGGACTAAGCAGAAAGAAGACTTGCTGGTCAGGATCGAGATGGAGACGATGGAGTCGCCATAGTGTCAATTCATCTCTACCTACCCAAGTGATAGTAGATTAATTCATGACTCCCCACAGTCAGGGACATCACCAATGCAGTTCGTTATTCATGTAACTCCAACTCTACTTCTAAGATGCGATCGATTGAGGGCAAACAATAATACCATCCGTAATCTAAACCCCCCGTATCGAGGCGTATGAAAAACAGGCAAAGTGGAACAGTCAGCAGCGATCCTGACTAAGATCTTCCCCGATTTCCGCCTTCAGGCAGACACTAAACTCCACCTTCAAGAGAAATGCAGACGGACTGACTCTCATGAGGTCAGACTGGATGAGCTGATTGATATCACGGTCATTCTTTCGCATCCATCTCTCGATCTCTAATATCAAATGCTATTCTAATCCGATCTTTAGTTCCACCTCCCACTTGCCACCACCCGAGATCATTCCTCTGTGCTGCAACTAGCTGAAGCTCATTGACCAATTACCGGACAGCTCCCATTTCATCATCGCCTAGCTAGACCGGACGTCGTGGACCCTTCCTCTTCTCACTCCCTCACTCTCTTTCTATCTCTCTCGCCATCCACCCATGCTTCGTCCCTACACGAGGGCTTAGCTACGCCCTCCTTGCTGTTAACTGCGCATCGCCAATCTGAACGGCCATTGAACATCTACAGCGTTGCATTCAGACATTGCCGAACTCCCAAGTCGCGTACTGGTTTGCGCCCGTCGGCCCATTTCTCTGCACAGGCGTTCATCCGCCTCACCCAATATCGACATCGAGCCGAGATTGACTCCGCATATTGAATATCAAGTTAGGATCATACGCTCGTCCACAATTTCAAATTCCCCTTTGGAAAGATGCCTGCGGATTACTCATCCACCGCCCGGGCACTGTCCGTCTCGACCTCGTCCCCAGAACCTCTGTCTCCGTCGGAGGATGAGGCCTATCCGCCATGGAGCCGAAGGGCACCGGGGAGGCGGAATTCAGCCAGTATCTCCGGCGGGCGACCCGCTACCCTCCGAGATCAGATCGTAGACCGAGCAACCAAGACATATCACCAGCTCCTGGAATCGTGGCGCAAGATGAACTTCTGGCAAAGGGTAGGGGCGGTGTCCGCGTTCTTATTGGCCAATCTCCTTGGAATAGGCTTTCTTGTCTTTACTGGGAAGGTCTTCATCTGGCTTCAACCCGTGGCGGCACAATGGGAGCATTCTCCTCTAGCCTACGGGGTTCTGTGGTTGTGTGTTTTCTTTGTCTCCTTTCCGCCGTTGGTTGGATGGTCCACATTTGGAACTATGGCGGGCTACATCTTTGGGATCTGGAAAGGGTGAGTGAAGAG